ATGGTACTCCAAACAGCGGCGGCAGCTCCAAATGGCGGCGGTGGCTCCGCTTCCGTGTTTGGAGCTGCCTCTGCCGTTTGGAGCCGCCGGCGCCGTTTGGAGTGCCGCCGTCACGTTTGGAGCTGCCGCTTCCGTGTTTGGAGCTGCCGCCGTGTTTGGAGTGGCGGTGGTGCTCCAAACAGCGGTAGTGCTCCAAACGCGGAAGCGGCAGCTTCAAACGGCGGCGGCGGCGGCTCCAAATGGCGGCAGCAGCTCCAAACGGCAGAGGCAGCTCCAAACGGCGGCGGCAGCTCCAAATGGCAGAGGCAGCTCCAAATGGTGGCGGCGGCTCCAAACGGCAGAGGCAGCTCCAAACGGCGGCGGCAGCAGCTCCAAGGGCACTCCAAATGGCGGTGGTAGCTCCAACGGCACTCCAAATGGCAAGTCCCCCCACCCTTCCCCCTATTTTGCATGTTTTAAACTAGGCCTAAATTTGGGGGGAGGGGCTTAATTTGATTTTATGCCTAGAAAACATGCTGGGTCTTCCTATTGGTGGAGGCCGTATTGTTGGAGAAACACGGTAGTATTATGTGGAGTTACAGCTTTTGCAAATCTGGGCTTTCTGAAATAACTTCTGCCCCCTCAAGCCCCAATTTTCTTAATCATAGTTCAGAAACTGTTATAGGTAGCAAAGTGATACCAAAGTGAATGATTTGCTTGCAGAAAGTATTAGATTCCAGTCCAACCAGATGAAGAATTAGAAGCAACATTTTACTGATTTTGTTCTTTTCCGCTGAATCAGGGAGGTCCTACCCCTTTTCCAGCAATAATTAAAAACATGGATTTTTTAAAAAAAAATATACTCCATAATATTATGCAACAAAACATATTTATATAGCTAGTTTTGGATTCATAATTCAATTGCTTGATTAGAAAGGCTTCCAGAGCCCAACTTAGTTTTATTCCTGATCGTTCAGCATTCTCTTGACAGCAGTCACCCAAGAGGCATCCCTAAACAAACAAGGCACAGGAAACAATATGCTGCAGCTGATAGCGGTATCCCAATCACAGGACTGGCAACGCACAGTGACTAAGAGAGCTATTGGCACTGCAATTACACAAATATGTATACCCTGGAACTGGAAGTGAGCTAACAGGTGGAATATTTTAGTGTGAAGCCCAATTTATTTTTACACAGACTACATGACAATATTGTCACATTTTTATAAATACTTTCAAAGATAAAAGCATTAATATTTGTAGTTACTGGGTCACATTAACCCTTTGAGGAATACAGCAATTATTGTAATATGTGCACATTTTATATTTCTGATGGCAGAGAATAGCTTCATAACAAAATCTGACAGCTGCAGAAACAAATAGAAAGAGCTTAACTTGCCCAATAGAGAGGACCACGTAGTTTGTCATATAGGGCAGGAAGGAGAAAATATGGAACACGTTTTGAATCAAGGCCTTATTCTTGAAACACAGTGGGTATTGAACTGTTTGCTGTTATGGCTTAGCTGGACTGGATCTGTTCTGAGCTTGTCTAAGTGGTTTATTTCTGCTTGTGATGCCTGTCAATATCTAAAAGCTGGAAATTTATATAATTTCTCCAAAAGTGCTTTCAAAAACATGTGTAAGAAACTTGAACCAAGGAAAATGAAATTTGGTACACAAGTAGCCCAAGATGAATAATCAACACTCTCAAATTTGGCACTGAATTGTTGAGTCATTTTTTAAAAAAAATTCTCAAGTTAGTGTTCTAGATGAGTCAATATATACATTGATGAATATACTAGGGCTACTTACACTAGCAGGTAGACTATTCTAAAACATTCTTCATTAATTTATGTTAATAGTTGTCAACAATTTACCCATAGTATAATTAATATAACATAATAATGAAATGAAATGAAGTACAGATCTGGGCATGGAAATAACCCTATGAATCCCTTTGCCCTCACTTTTTATGTCTGCAGTATAAACTAGCTGGTTTGGCACTTTGACCTCCTTAAGCACAAAACTTAATATTCAGGACTGGGAGAAATAAGTATCAGAAAAGGGGAAAACCATAAATATATATTGCATTTAGCCTTACTGAGTTAATAGTAATCTAGTTATGAGTTTCATTGAGATGACTAACACAATATAGTTGACAAGCTTTTTGATTGTGAAGAAAATACCGATAAAATTCCTTCAACAGGTCAATCAAGGTTCTAGTAGTAAAGTATGATATACACATTGGCTGCTAATAAGCACTTACTATAAACCAAAGCAAGACATTTGAGAAAGGTGTGAATTTAGATAGACTTCCTTTCCTGTATCACCAAAGCTTAATACATAAATAACATTTCCTGCAGATTTGCAGGCAAAACAGGACATACGTGACTTTTTTGCTTGTTTGAAGGAAGAAAATCTCTTGAGGCAAAGCATAAGGTAAGAAAAACAGGCTCTCCCTATTTCCATAGACATTTTGAGTTTTTAAATCTCGATTTGGGGGGGAAAAATCATAAGTAGGACTAAGAACAAATTGGTTGCTTCATTTAACAATTAAATGCAAAAGAAGTCTACAAATCTGTCAACTGATTATTCAAAACTGTGGAACAAAATTAATATGAAATGTTTTTCATTCATGTACAGAGTACCTGTGGCTATAATTCACCATGATGAGTCTGCAAAAAACATATTGTTCCTTTGGGGTTGGGAAGAACAGATCATTCTACAAGTTCCATTATATTCACAAGAAAATTACTTGAATGAAAAGTTTATGATCCACAGACCAGTAAAACAATCCATTATAGCAGTTAGGATCTTCCTTTCAGTTACAATTACAGGTTCTAATAAAACCTATAATTTTTTTAACAGATGAATTATCAACATTAGATATCAAAAGAGGAATCTATGATTTACAGGAAGAATTGCTTCTTCTGAAACTAATTAAAATCAAGCATAACATAGAGAAGATTAGGATAGATTTTGCCCTCTGCTGTCTGCTCCTTTATTCATTAGAAAAAAATATGTAGAAATGAGTTCCACGGCAGCGATCTTAAGTGACAATGTAAATTGTAGTTCTACATGCCTTGAGACCATCAATCCACTGAAAACTTCTGTATAGAAATAAACAAACTTTGGCACTAAAAAGTTTTATATCACATCCTTTGAGGATTTTGCCCAAACTTCACAGGACTACACTTAGCTATAAGCACATACCAAAATTTCTAAACTGGCAGTCCTTGCTTCACTTGAAAACTATTTCCAGCAAAAGTGGGAATTCGACATTTCAGAATGTAGGTTGTCCTTGACTGACAATGGCAATTGGGGCCTGGTTTTTCATCTCTAAGCAATGTGGTCATAAAACATGCTCATATCATTTAGTGATATCATATCATTTAGACTGCTGTCTTGGAGGGCAGCGTTGACTGAATCCTATGATCCGTGAGGCAAGGCAACCTCCTTGCTGGCTTTCCACAACAAAATCAGTGGGAAAACTGGCAGGAGGTTGCAAGTCCCAAGCCCACAGAGAGATAAGTAGAGAAGAGAATGAGGGGTGTGGGGAAGGGTTGGGGAGAATACACAGGAGGTATGGCATGAGGAAGGGGTGCAAAGGTGTGAGGGGTTACATGAGAGGCATCACGTGGGTCAGAAGAGTGCACCAGGGAGATTCAAGACATGCTACCTAGGTCAGGGAGTGTGCCTGAGAGGGACTGGATAGGTTGGGATGTGCATGGAATGCATGAGGGTTTGAAACCTAGGACAGTGGTGCTAGGCGGAATATGTGGGAAGGGAGATTTACCTGAGACCCTCCTTGCCAACTTCCCTATTGACTTTCTGGGGTAGTTGGAAGAAAAAGACTGCAAATGTGATCGCAGGGTCCTGGCAACTAGTTAAAGGATAAATGGATTGCCAAGCATGCAAATCACAATCATGTGACTGCAGGGATGGTGAGGTGGCTGGAACTGTGAGGACTGGTAAAAAACCCCACCATTTGTTCAGTGCCATCATGGAGTAGTCACTTATACTTGGCCAATCCCCTGACATTTCCTTGGAGGGCTGAGAGGGAGAACTGTGAAGCCGTTACCATGGCAACTCCACTGTGCTGTACGGTAGAAGCCATTTTAAGGCACACACACATCCCGAGGGGTATTAGGGGTATCTTACCCCCACAGTATTTGTTTCCAGAGGGTAAGTCATCTGTGTACCAAGTTTGTTTGATATTACTGAAGGCGTTCCAGTTATGCTGGAACATACACACATCCATTTTTATATATAAAAAAATAAATAAAAAATAAAAAGACAAAAATAAACCCTGAAAATACATATTAGACTCAAATAATAGTGTTAATAGTTCCCAGGGATTCTTGACCTCATTTGTGCACAGCTTGTGCACATTTATTGGGAAGACAAAAATAATTTATATTAATATCTGAAGAATTGCAGGACTGACTGGTAACATATCAAAGAAATGAAATAGTCTGTGTAATCTTTAGGAGTACAAAATGGCTTGATGCCAGGTAATCAATCAATTAGTAATATTTATACACAGCACGTTGAATTTATTTGAAGCAGAAAAAGACCCAGTGAACTCAAGGGTTAAGGTCATATTTCCCATATTATTCATATTTAAACAGTGAAAATTAACAGAAATTTAAAACAGTTCCTTACCTTATTTTCCTCCAAAAATTTCAATTTAACTGATACATCATTGCGCATTTTGTCGTATTTCTCTTTATGTATTTGGAATAGTTGTTGTGATTGCTCTATCTTTGGCATAGTATTAGCATCACGCGGGCCAAGATTCAGTTCTTCTAGATCTGTACGGTAAGCATCATATTCAATCCTGAGAATACAAGTATTAACATGCGAGATTTAATTAATATGGAACTAATATGGAACAGTGGTTATGGTGCTGGGCTAGAGGTGGAGAAACCCAAGTTCCAAATGGTTAACAATTGAAAGATATGTATCTTATTTTGAACTTTTGTTGGGGAGAACATAAATCTAATAAAAAGCAAACTTAATTTTATATAACAGTTATAAAACCTTGTAGTGACCAAAAACTATACTCTTGTTCAATGTTTTATTATTATTTATGTTTTGATCCTGTTGTGTAAGGTCCCTACAATCACTTTGTGATTAAAGCACCCAAATGAATAAAATTAGAACTTCAAAAAATCAGCCATTTCTGTATTGTTCACAAATTACAAAATTTTAATTGATTTTAACAGGACTGCTTTAGAATACATCTAAATTCTGATCCAACACTAAGTTGCATTAAGAAGTAAATTCAATGTTCAATAAATAAAATAAATAAAATAAAATAAAAATAATATATAAGACATTACCTGGCATTTTCATACTGCTTCACCGTCAGTAGGGTATCCTCGATAGTTTTATTTACCAAAGTGTTCACACTAGCTATAAAAAAATTAATTGCGCCAAGCAGAGTTTCACCATTTTTAGCAAGTAGCTTCTGTGTATCTGCATTGTATCCAAATTCCTCCTGTTAACATGTAATTTTGGAATACTTAATTCTTCTTTATTAAATTGTACTGGTATTATAACAGTAATCAAGATATTTTAATCCTCAATATGAAAGCAACCCAGTTAGCTTACTGATCTGCAATATGTCTGTCTCATTGCAACTATGTTCTTCATGCACCTAGTACTCCCAGGAGCATAGCACATGCTTCTTGATTTCAATAGAGCATGAATGGGTTACTTTTTTTCTGGGTATAAAATTCATGAAATACAGAATACGTTTACAAAACAATGAAGTCAATGTGTCAAAATAACCATCTCTAATCCTAGAACATTTTGTACGAACACTGAAATTAGCAATATTAATTCACATTGGTACGCAATGTGGAAGGCAGGCATTATTGGATTTATTTCCATTAAGCTACCAGTTAATGGACCCAATGTCTGTACCAGTTGGATTAAGCATAAATGTAGGCATTTCAGCAGAAGATGAAGATAATTAATACAAATGCAATCTTACATGGAGTTCTAATGATTTCAAACTTAAGTCTGCAAAAGTCTCTCCAAGCTGTCTTTGAGTGTGCACCATCTGGGAAAGTTGAGTTGATAGAGTTTGTGCCAGTTTCAGGACATTCTCATACTTCTTTTTGTTCTCCCTCAATATTTCAATTTGAGCTTCTAACTCAAGGTCTACGGTTCGAGATCCTCGGCCCAGCTTCTCTGAGATTATTTGACGAGTACACTGTAAAATTTGAGAGAGGTGCTTAAATTAAAATTTTCAGTTTCTCATCCATACAATTTATGTGAATTATTTAAATTAGGGGTGCCAAACTCAAGGCCAGGGGGCTGGATCTGGCCCACGGGATGCTTAGATCTAGCCCTCGGAGCCGCCCTGGAAATAGTGAAGGGCTGGCCCACGGTGCCTCTGTCATTAAAAATGGAGCCTGCGAGCGCTGCGTGCAGCCCTCCTGAGATCTGTTTTCACTGGCAGAGGGCTGCAGGAGGGTGTTGCAGTCGAAAACTGAGCCCGCGAGGGATGCACACAGTCCTCCTGAACTCTGTTTTCACTGCCAGAGGGCTGCAGGAGGCCATCGCATCTGAAAACAGAGCTCGGGAGCCCATTTTCACAGGCAGAGGGCTCAGGCTGCCACAGGCGCTCCCGACACAAGTGATGTCGAGCTGGCCATGCTCACCCTGGCCACACATACCCCACCCCCTGAGGTCAAACACAACTCTGATGTTGCCCTCAATGAAATTGAGTTTGACACACCTGATGTCAAATTAACATCATTCATGTTACAGTGTTATTATAAAATTATTCTAAAAATATTTTTAAAAATTCTCTACATACTTTCCTGAAGTTTAACTATTTTAAAGAGTAAGTTCATCTAATATAAGAAAAAAAAGCTCTGCTGAAAGTCAACTGAACAAGTTACTGATAAAATATTCTACTAAAGAATGCACTAAGTCACTAAAATAATATGTGGCATGCCATAAATATGAACATTTAAAATATGGGAAGTATAAGCTATACCCGATTTCAAATTCAACGTTAACTGGCTGACAACTGTATTTGACAGCAAAATCTTTAGTTCTAAGCACTGGTTCAAAGAATCACCTACTTCTGTAGGACATACAGCACCATTCAATCACTCTATTACTGACCATGCATTGGGAAGAACTGTTGAATCTTGTTTTCAAATCTGCTCCCATTTTGGGAATAGGAGGGCATTATAGTTAATCAACTGAGTAGTTTACTGGGAGATCTTCCCTCTGTTCAGAGAGATCCTTTCTCAACCACCCAGTATTAAACTTTTCAAAGGTTTATCCTCTACAAAATTATGGTCGTAAGTCGAGGACTACTTATAGATATCATAACTTCTCCAAACACACAAAAGCAAAACAAAAATGGTGGTGAGCTGTAGTGACACAATGGTTAGAATGCAGTACTGCAGGCTACTTCTGCTGACTGCCTACACTTTGGAAGTTCAATTCTCACCAGTTCAAGGTTGACTCAGTCTTCCATCCTTCTGAGGTCGGTAAAATGAGGACCCAGATTGTTGGGACAAATATGTTGACTCTGTAGACTGCTTAGAGAGTGCTGTAAAGCACTGTGAAGTGATATATAAATCTAAATGCTATTGCTATTGCTAAAAATACCACTTGTACACTAACTATATCTTCCTAAAATGAAAGACTTACAAACATGATAATTTCCAGGTTGAGAGGAATATTTCCATTCCATTAAGAATTTTTAGATGACAATTGTGCTAGATAAGACAACAATCTGAAGAAATGAAATGCTTTTTACCCATTTTGATTGTAGATACATGTGTATCTTAAAGGTAGGATAGTTATCCTAAAGAATTAATTCTTCCAAATTAAAATAACAACAAAGAATCCCACTGGAAAAGCCTTGTGCATGGTGACATAAAAAATTCTCCACCCTAAATTATTAACATGGAAACACAAATTGCCTTCCATTTTGTAATCTTGCCTCTATACAGGTCGTCCTCGACTTACGATGGCAATTGAGCCCAACCTTTTTGTTGCTAAGTGAGATGAATTTTGCCCCATTTTATGACCTCCAGCCAATAGCTTCTGCTTCAGGAGTCCATGCCACCTGGCATAGTCAGGTTTTAAGTCTTTTCCTGAAGGCTAAAAGAGAGAAGGCGGATCTTACATTCTGCGGCAAGATATTCCAAAGGGTGGGAGCCATGGTAGAAAAGGCTCTTCTCTGGATCCCACCAGCTGAAGTTTCTTGGCGGATGAGATCTGCTAGAGGCCCCTTTCTGCCAACCCAAGTGAGGTGAGATGATCTCATTGGGGAAAGACAGTTTCACAGGTATGCCGGACCCATGCCATAAAAGGCTTTAAAGGTGATAACCAAGACCTTGAATGTTCCCTGAAAGTAAATTGGCACCCAGTGCAGCTCGTGTAACAGTGGTGTTACCCTACAGGCCTCCAAAACTGCGTGTGCTACTGCATTCTGGACAAATTGTAGGTTCCAGATATTCTTAAAGGGTGATCAAGAAAAGGTAGTAATTGGTGCCCCAATAAAGTTGTGCGAAGGGTTTCTTAGCCATGATTGCCATCTGCTCTTCAAGCAGGAGTTGTGAGTCTAGAAGAACCCCTCAAGTTGCGCACTGGGTCTGTTTGTGGTAGTACCACCCCACCCAGAATTAATGATAAACCTCCAGACCCCAAGACTCCACTTATCCACAGCCACTCCGTCTTATTAGGGTTCACAGTTGAAGTCCCCCATCCAGGCTCCTGCAACCTCCAGGTACTATGAAAGGGCAGCCGCAAGCAAGAATGAGCAATGATACAAGTTTCAGCTATTGAGGAATTGTCAGATGAATACTTAGAATGACCCGCTGTCTTGCTTTAACCTACTTATTTAGGGCTGCTCAGTAACATAGCTTTTTGTAATATCTCAATGTCTCATTTGAATCCAGGGAAAGTGACACAGGCTTAAAAATAACCTTGGAAAAATAAACTATAGGAAACAAATTGCTTTCCTTGTTAAATACTACTGCTGAAAAAAAGTTTCTTCCCATTAAATTATGTAGCAGAGGAAGATTATTATTTTAACTGCATAAAAGCCTTCAAGTTGGAAAATGCAATATTTCATGGCAGGTGAAGTACCTGAATCACTCGACCACTACAACGAAACTAATACAAACCTTGTAGGTATTTAAACTCCATTTTCTTACAAGCTCCAGTTTTTCCATGGCTGGATTTTTTACTTCCTCTGCTAGAACAACGGGTCCACTTTTCTGCTGCATTCTTGGATTGCCTATTTGGAAATCACAGGTAAGTGAGTCAAAGCTTATTTGGAGCTCTTTAAATGTATTAAGGAGAGATAGGACAACTTTATTTTCAGCATTGTACAAAAGAGAATAGCACAATAATATGATTGTTTTTGGATAATTTGATAACACTAATTTGATAATTGGTAAAGTCTGAAAAATAACATTGCTTGCATTTAAATCATAGCTAGCAGTAAATTAGAATTAAGCAACTGCAAAATATTCTGCTGGATTCCCATGTTTTGCATTAAGGGACAATTAAATATTAAATATAGATAATTCTTCCAGAAAAGTGCAGAAAGGCACATCATCTCTTCTATTTTCATCACATGCTCATGTTTTACCAGAACTAACAGGCCACTCCTTTTCAGCGATGTAAAGCTAAATCAAAAGCTAAATTTTGTGATAAGGACTGAGAGATTCAGCCCATAGCCGCTCCTTTGTGGCATCCTGTAGGCCTCAGTACTCTCTCCACTCAGTACTCTCTAACATCTCCATGAAGTTACTGGATGAGATTATTCGCTACCAGGGGTTAAGAGGTTATCCACATGCTAATAATTAACTTACACATGTCCACTCTTAGTAACCAATTGATGCTCTCGCTGCCCTCTCACAATGCCTGGAAACTGTGGGAGCCTGGATGAGGGCCAACAAGCTTCGACTAAACCCCGGCAAGACTGAACAACTTTGGGAGTATGGAGCTCCGAGTTCTGGGACTCTTTAACATCTTTAGTTCTGAATGGGGTTGCACTACCCCAAACAAACCCAGCACCCAATTTGAGGGTACTCCTGTATTCTCAACTCCTGTTTGAAGAGCAGGTGGCAGTCACAGTCAGAAGAGTCTTGGCACAATTTCCCGTTGTGCACCAGTTGCATCCATTCCTGGACTGGGACCTCCTGCACTCAGTCACTCAAGCCCTAGTCATCTAAGACCTGGACTACTGTGCTTTACTACATAGGGCTGTCCTTGAAGAGTCACTGGAAGCTACAACTGTTGCAGAATGCAGCAGCATGGAAAGCTCTTGGGGCTCACAGACTGGCTCATGTCACTTTGCTCCTATTTGAATGACTGATTCCAATGTAATATTAAGGTATTGTGGCTCTATTTTGGGGAGTATATTGTGAATTCCAAAATAGTGTATTTTAATCCTCAATGTCCAATTGTGTCTGACTCTAGGCGTCAGTGCTCATCTCCATTTCTTATTGTCCAATCATGTCTGACTCTAGGGGACAGTGCTCATCTCCATTTCTTAGCTGAGGGAACCAGTGTTATCTCAAGACAATTTCTCTGGTCATGTGATCATACACCAAGGAGCACAGAAAGATTACCTTCCCAACAGTGGTACCTATTTATCTATTTGCGTTGCATACTTCTAAACTGCCAGGTTGGCGGGAGCTGGAGCAAGTAATGGGAGCTCATCCCATTATGAGGTGCTTGGGTCATTGTGCCCCCTGCCAGTATTGTTTAATATCTACATAAAACTGGTGATTAAAATATTATCAATATGTAAAGGGAACCTATGGCTTCTCTTTTTTTATTTTACCAGAAAGACTGGGTGCTTTGAAAAAACGTTTTGGTATGATGACAGACACAAAAAGCACCGACAATCCAGATTGCCATAGATGGTTTCTCTTTTCATGTACCGGTAATTAATAATCTATTTTGGGAGTGTCTGAATTCCATTATAGTCCATCTAAAGCAGCATTTCCCAAATTGATAATGTCTAGATGTTTCGGATTATAATTTCAATCAGTATTGACCATTTACTATAATGGCTATGTCTTTTAAGAAACACAAGCCAAGAACATCTGAAGGATTCCAGCTCAGGGACATCTGGAGAATGTTAAATCCAGCAGGCATAGAAAGCACAAGTTACCTTGGTAGCAGTTTGCAGGCCCTTTTGTTTGTTTAGACTGATATATATATATAAAAACCCTAACTAACCACATCCTGGTTACTTTTAACTTGACACCTGCCAAGGTAACCCTAATAATACATCATTGCTTTGCCATTTCAAAGGTTTACTTAAAACTTAGAAGATTCTTTTCCAAGTGTGATGAATCAAATAAAGCCAAGCCTGTGCTTACAATACAGAATATTTTGGGGGCTGACGTTTGGGTAACAGCACATCCAGAAAAGCTTGCTTGGCACCTATATTATAAACTTTTCAAAACCATAATAATATTAGAGAAGTACAAATCATTTTGAACACCAAACAACCAGTTTGAGTTGGAAGAAGTGGCTCTGAATGCAAAACTGTCATGTCTGCAAATAATTCGGAGTTCAAAATCACATTGTTTTGAGCTTGAAATACTCCCAAGTTAGTCTACTTTGATTCAACTGCAAAATGACAATTTAAAATGATTGCATAAATTCAGGTTTGAAATATTTTGCATATCCCTAGTAAATTCTTTTTATTTTCCTACCCTTTTCAAACTTTACTATTTTATTATTTTTAAAATATACTAGTAGTTTTAGAAACTTTTTGAATTTCTTTTTATTCATCTTTATGATGCTTTTCAACTGTGGTAGTATAATTTTCATAAAACCAAGAATCATTGTTATTTACTTTTTTTAAAAAAGGTACACACTCCAGCACAAATTCTCAAATTTGATAAAGATTAGTAAATTGTATTTCCATTACAATGAATTCTTTGACACAATCATTATTTAGTATGATGATGATAAAATTTAACACAAAATTTCATTCTAATTAAAATTTCTCATGATTCATTTTTATTGAATGCTTCTGTGGACATGCTTAATATTTAAGGAAGAGAGTATGCAGAAAAGAAAAAGTAGTTATTTAGCAAGCCAAAGCAGCATATTCTATTTAGCCATAGCAGTTAATCACAAGGAAGTATAGGCAAACATGGGAGTTAGTATTGTATCAGCAAAGCCATTAACTGCTTAGACCTCTGAATACCTTTGGGAATAACTAAATCATTCCCTTGTCCAGCCAGTCTGCAGGCTGCAGCACTGCTAGGCGATATAACGGGAGACATAGGTAATGATGAAGGACCTAGAAATGGGACATATGTCATCAACATCCGTCTTCATTTAATCAATATATTTTTAATGCACAAAATATTGGTGAAACTGAAGCAAATCTTGAAGTGAACTAGACTTTCAATGTAGGACTACTTTAAACAAAAAGCAATCTATTACATGCTTCATATGGTGACTAAATCACATAGAGAGCTATTTTGTTTATACCCATTAGATTCTCAACCGTTGTTTGTTACCAATTACTGGTAGCATGTACATTTAACATTTTACTACATATATATGTATGTATGTATGAATGTATGTATGTATGGTATTCAGCTTTGTTCGGGTATTTTCCCACGTCATTATAGTTATGCTTTTAAAGTTGTAGCTGTATAATGACGTGGGAAAATACCCAAACAAAGCTGAATACCATACATGTAAGTACCCGTGAAAACTTTATATATATATATATATGTGTGTGTGTGTGTGTGTGTGTGTGTGTGTGTATATACACATACATACATACATACATACATACATACATACATACACACCAATTACTAATAGTACACACTGAATTCTGTTACCTTGAAAAGGTCCAACTGCAATAGTCCCTTCCTTGGTACTGTCAAAGCCATGAGATGTGATCTGTGTTTCGGACAAACCAAGTCCAGCTGGCAAAGAACGCTTCAACTCCTTAGAAATGTTTGAATAAAAGGGAATATCCATGTAAAAATCCCAAATAAGGGAACACTTAGGCATAATAGCAGTCTTTAAGTCATCTTGAAAAATGTGTTCTATAGTTTGGAATCTATTTTATGGTGTCATGGTGTTCTATTTTAATGACAACACAATGCTCAATTACAACAGTTTCCAGGTTTACCAGACCCCTTGTGTAACCTAGAAGCCTCCCCTGACCCTAAAGAGAAAAGTCCAGCATACACTTGGAAAAAAAAAAAACAGGAGGAAAAATTCTAGAGTTTAAACCTTGAAGGACTCATTGATTCCAAAGTGGAAGGCATTTTTTAAGACTGATACTAAGCCTTCTGCAAGGAAGAGTTTCCCAACACAGGGTTTGAAGAGTTGAGATCGATCACAGATACATTTATGAACAAAACTTCTATTATCTAATAGTTCAATTAAACAATTAAATCAAGGAATGTTCTGTCTTTTTCCCAGTTATGTTATTTTTCTGGTTCAATTGACTTGCATTGTACCAAAATAATTTCCCCAGAGTTCCCTGTTTTTCAGATATGAAGGGCGACACTTCCTCTAGCCCAACTGAACTCAGAGGTTTTTTATTTTTTAATTGAAATTGAATTACGGTGTCTTTAGTACATATCTTCACCACTTTTTCAAGTATGAACATAAGAATATATCCTTTTTCTTCCCTGGATCTTTTTATTTCTTTAATTAAAGTTAATGCTCTGTGCTATCTGGGGATTTCTATAAATATCCCAGATTCTCTTTCAATCCTTTCCACGCCCATGTTCTGGCAACTGTAAAATATTTTCTTATTTCTTACAAAGCACCAAAATTTTACAACAATGAACAATAAGCAGGGATAAAGCTTTAATCTTTGCAAGATTCAGTCTTTATAGAAAAGCTGTCAGTTTTAGTTTCAAAGCCCCAATGTTAATGACCATAATAGGCATGAAAGTATGCCAGAAGTCTGCCTTCATTGTTCATTTGACTGCTTCCAAAACTTAGAACATATATATAGTTTCACTATTTTTTGTTGGCATGGAACACTTGCTAAGTCTTATATTTATTCCATTTTAAACTAATGGAGTGGCTAATGGAATGGCTATTTCAAAGTACAGAATATTCAAAATCGGTACATATTGCTGAAGCTGTGCTTCATCTTATTTTTTCATTTAACACCAATATTTACCAGAAGGGCATCTGCTACAACACTTTGCCTCTGAGGTAACATTAATTACTTGTGACCTGGTTTGTACATAACAATGAGGTATTAGATGATTTCTGACTTCTTCTGGAGAACTTTTTATCCTGGGCCACACTCTCTGTATAAATTTTGTCACTCATCAGAGATGCAGAATTTAAATTTTTAACTTGCTTTTGCTAAATGTGTAAAGACTTAACAAACTAATATTTTTGTAGTTTTGTTACTTACTTTTGCTGTATTTCACTCTGCATAGCCACAGTCTTCACATGCATGTTCAATAACTTGCACAGCCCATAAACATCCCATAAAAACCATATCCGTATTTTAATAATACACCAATTATCTATGTTGAAACACTGCATTTCTCAACATTTTCACAGGACATTTATTTTCATCTTTTTTTTCTCAGACTTTTGTAGCATTCATTTCTGTTCTACTCTTTTACATATCATGAATGCAAATATCTAAAACAATCGGTCTAGCATTCCTCACTTCAATTTTATCATAATCAATTCTATTTTAAATTTCACTCATGCTGCTAGACTGAGCTTCCTTTTAACCCTCTACATTTTAAAAACAAAAAGATGTGACTGATTGTCCAGTTTTAGTTTATTCTATTTTATGAATAGCTCTAGAAATAAAATACCCATTTTTAATGAATAAGGCTTCTCCCATCAGGAAAATCTCGGCTAACCTAACACATTTCTTGGATTGCTTAATCATTAGTAAAACTGGATTATTGTCAAGCAATTCAGGGGATATTTGTAGAGTCATACCCTGTTATAGCTGTGCTCATGTATGTCTTCCAATTCTCCATTGCTTGTCACAGAAATCTCTGCTGCTGATGTTTTGGGGGACTCTTGAGCCATTGAACACGCCTACAATATGAAAAAATTGCATTAGCTTTCCTCACACATAATTAATATCCAGCTTTTGGACATTCAGTATTTTTTTTTCCTGGGGCGGGGCAGGAAATGGAGGAAATCTTGCTGTATCCAAGGTGTATCTTGAGACTCTTATATAAGAGTTTTATGAAACCTGCTATTACTAAGCTTTGTTTTTGTACCTTCAAGTCTTGTGTTGACTCTTGGTGACTGCTTGGACTAGTCCTTACTAATCTTTTTGGCTTTTCAGAAGTACTTTGCCATTGGTTCTTCCTGGGGCTGAGAGTGAATGCTTGGCCTAAGGTCACCAAGGTCACTCCATGGCTAAGGCAGGATTTGAACTCACAGTCTCTTGGTTTCTAGCCAGATCCCTTAACCCAGGGGTGTCAAACTAGATTTCATTGAAGGCCGCATCAGGGTTGTTTGACCTCGGGGGAGGGTGGGGGGACCGTGGCCACCTTGATGTCACTCGTGTCAGAGCCGCCTATGGAGGCCTGAGCGCTCTGCCAAAGAAAATGGGCTCCCAATCTCTGTTTTTGCTGACAGAGGGTTGCAGGAGGCTGTCCCAGCTGAAAATGGAGATTGGGAGCCAGTTTTCACTGTCAAGAGGCACCGCAGGCTGGTCCTTTGCTGTTTCCAGGCTGGTCCCACAGGCCAGATCTAAGTACCCTATGGGCCGAATCTGGCCCACAGTCCTTGAGTATGACACCCCTGCCTTAATCACTACCCCAAATTGGCCCTCTGTAACTATAGTATTGGAATATAAATAAGTAACTATGCATTCATTGTCAGGGTTTCCCGCCCCAACAGTATAGTTATTTATTTATGAAATTTATAGTCTAAAGTTACCCCTAGCGTATGGCATATGTAGAATGAGATATAATCACAATATAAAATTACAATTTAGCACAGTGATTATGAATAAATGATGCCGAAAGGATGTAAGTGAATCACACCATAAGTATTAATAACTTAATAATTAAGTAATAAGTATTAATATTATATGTTAATTAAATTATTAGTGTGTTATAAGCATATCTGATCATGCAAAATAGGCAGTCTCAATGGCACATGAAACTGTATTGCTCAATTTGTTCCTTCAAACTTACAGAGGACTAAAAAACTATCATTATAGTTCTCTTGTATCCACGTGAGTCTTGGAATGCTTAAAATGAACCACAATTACCAGCATCCCTTATCACTAGCTATTCGGACTACTGATAAAAGATGTACATTAGAAACATCAGGACGGCTTAGGGTCTCCGTTTGAACAAGTAATGTTTACAACAAATGTTACCGCACTGTCTTTGTGATGGGTGGCTGCTGAGATGAGTAAAAAGTATTCGGAATATAAATCAAAAGTATATACTCCCAACAGGATCACCCAAGGCATGAAGGTATTACTAGGTACACAACTAAAGCAGGCAGGCACTTATGCCCGGCAGCATTAATGGGAGAAAGTGATCCTGTATTTTACTAACAAAATTACATGGATAGATGAGTTAAAGTAACTGACAATATAATGCCAGATGACTGGCTTCTCCGTTGCTCAATACGCTACTGAGGAAGAACTTAAGACATTTAGGCGTAAGAATGGCTTATTATTAATCTGACACCACTGGACAATGTAGTTAAGATGAAAAGAATCAATTATATAATGACATCAGAATGGAATTAGACACCTTCATTCATAAGTTCATAGTTCACTATTCAGAACATGAAAAATAAAGATTAAATGGCATTGTTTTCATAATTAGGTGGAATATAGTAAGGCATTACTTGGAGACAATATAGCAATGACCAAATAATATCAAATAGATTGTGTGGACAATCCTTTAGTATATGCCATTGATGGAAAAGAGGAGGTTGATAAGTTTTATGGTCACGTAAGCAAGAAGTGATCCTTGTAGTTGGAGACTGGAATAACAAAATTTGAAATAATAGGGAGGAAACTGTAGATCAGTGGTTCCCAAACTTTTTAAGTCCACCACCCCCTTGGTGCTACAAACTTGTCCTCGGTGTCCCCCACTCAGGGGTGGGATTCAAATTTCCCCCTATCCTCATAAAAAAAAACTTATACATAGGTCAGGAAACCACAGTCTGAACAGAACATGGCAACACAGATTGATTCCAGGTTGGCAAAAAAATGCATACTTAAGCAGTGATGAGCTTTTGGGCTGAAAGGCCATGGTCTAGTTTGGCCATTTAGATAACAGCTGTCCAGCCTGAAAATTCATTACTACTTAATTGATGCTGCTAAGAAAGCCTACACCAGTATACAACTACATATTCTTTCCTTATTTGTCCAACCTATATGCCGAATCTATACTGAGGAAGACTGGATTGGAAGATGAGCATGGTTTTAACGCTGGAGGCAAAACATCAATAACCTGCTCTTGGCTGACGATGAAAATGCAAATGATCTGCAAGCTCTAGTAATGAAAGTAAGGAAGATGACCTAACAAAGCTGACAGAAAATCAAGAAGCACAGTGAAAAAATGATTAAAGATTAAAAACATAGAAAGCCAAACTAATGACAACAGGTAAGGTGTGTACTGTTTCTGTCTGTTTCTGTTTTTGTTGTTGATATATTCTGTTACATTAATTATAAACCTATTACTCTCTTGATATGGTGTAATACAGGTAGTTCTCACTTATATGACCACTGGTTCAGTGGTCAAAGTTGCAACAGTGCTGAATGAGGAGTCTTATGGCCAATCCTTAAATTCAGGCACTTGGCAACCAGCGCACAATTACAACACTTGCAGTGACCCACACTTACGTGACTACTATTCGCAACTTTCATTGCCAGCTTCCCAAAGGCAAAGCTAGCAGGAAGTTGCAATCTATGGTCATGTGACATCGGGCTTAATTAAACCAATGGTCCAATTAACAACAGCAACCACAACTGCAACCACCCTAATATTATTGGGGAAATATGCATTAGCAACAAACTGCATATTTACAGACTATGTGTTTGCCCAACCTGTTTGCAAAAGAAAACAATGTTTTCTAGTGTTAAGCAGAAACATATCGCAGAAGTTTGTATAATTTGGCAGGCTACTTGGCCAGGAGTAATAGATAAGCAGCTAATGACAAAGATTGTGTGTGCCTAACATGTTTTTCAACAACTCAAAAATATTGAGCTGACATTCTTATAATAATTGAAGATGCCCTTGAATTTACTATACATATATATGCTGAAAGCAGCTAAAACTCATATGAATATTGAACTGAAAACAATTTAAATGGTCCCAGAGTGCCCTCATGTGGAAGCTGTTGAACAGTCAAGGGCTATCATTAAAAAATATTAGTTATAATGTTTCAATTGAAAGAAAACGAACAATTCAGATTGGTAGAATTGAAGACTCAAATCAAAGCTAAACTTTTTCAGACTAAGGAGAATCTCTACAGACAATTACAGTTAATGAAAATATTCCCTCTGTAGTTAATAATGTACCTATTTTATTACCTTAAATATTATAATTACTGGTAAGTAAAATCTTTCAGGTCACACTCAAGTCTTTGAACTGCATTTCTCCTTAGCTCTAAGTATGGTACTAGGAAGCTGTAACCTGCCTTCAGTTCAGAATCCCCCAAAATACTATGTTATAATACAGGCAGTTCCTGGATTAAGAACATCCAATTTACAGACAACTTTACATATGACCAGGCTGCCTGTTACTCAAAATGATGGATGGCATTCTCCTTCCTCAAGCCAACAAACAAACCGCTGAAGCTATGCAATCTTTTCATGAACCACTGAAGCCACACATTTTTAATACACAACCTGTTTTCAGCAATTCATGAAAGCACTGCGAGACTTCAGCAATTTTGCAGCTCAAGGAAGGAGAACTCTGCCATTTTTAGTAATAGGTAGCCTAGTTCATAAGTAGGAACTTTACTTTGTATTCAATTTTGAGTTAAAGAAAGACGTAGGAAAGGACGTCTTCTTAAAATGGAGACTCTCCCTGTACATCTTCTTGCTACTCTAGCCTATTTACATGGTTTCAACAACCATGGTACTCTCACTAAAATAAACAGCTTATTACAATGCCCAAGAGAAGGAATTTCGAACTGCCACCTAATTAAGTGTTTAAATTTACAAGACTGTGCATTAAGTTAGTCCTTTGTTAGTCCTTATCCAGTTATTCCATATTACTACCATGCTAGAAGGAATGTGGTAGATCAAGTATTATTTTCAAACATGGGGCTCATATGCCCAAATAATTTGCTGTTAGAAAAAAATTATATCTTATTTCAAACTATTAAACTTTAGGATGGGTATAATGTGGGACACGAGGAATATTATTTCTATAATAATGGAAACATGTTTTATAATTAATTTTAATATTTACATTCACCTGAGTCACAAGATTTTTCAGTGATAAGTTTCAAAGTTCACAGTGATAAAAAAACAACAACTGAAACAGTACATAAACTCTAAACCCCGAAATCTTAAAGAGTACACTATTTAAAATAAACATAAAGATTAAATCAGAAATTAAGAAATAAAACTGCAGCCATTGTAGGGCAGCCTAACTTTTAACTCTTTACTCGAACTACAAATCTTTGGTGAAACAGAATAATTGGAATGGTCTTTCCAAAAATAAATAGTGCAGGAGCTATTTGGGGCCCTGATGGTAAGCTTTTTCACAATAACAAAAACACTAAGGGTTAATGATCAGTCCCAGTTTAACCAGCCATGGTTTTCAGCATTTACTAACAGTATTTATTAAAAGTATAAATATTTTTTTTAAAATGCAGAACTTTCCAAATGATCTATGTTTAAGCTTAAGCAGGCCAATTATAAAAGTCCTTCTATAATACCACAACCAGAGACTCTAACCTTACATTTAGATACAATGAGCACAACTGATGCAAGTAGTCCTTGACATACAACAGTTTGTTTAGTGACCATTTGAAATTAATATGAAAAAAGTTGTTTTTGACCACTTTTCACACTTACAACTGTTGTGGCATCTCCATGGTCACATGATCAAAATCCAGACACTTGGCAACTGACACATATTTATGATGGTGTGGCAGTGTCCCAGGTCATGTGATCAGCTTTTGCGATCTTCTGACAAGCAAAGTCAATGGGGATGCCAGATTCTCTTAACCACCCTGTTACTAACTTAACTGCAGTGACTCACTTAACAAGTGTAGAAAGAGAGGTCATAAAATGGAGCAAAATTCATTTAACGAATGTCTGGCTTAGCAACAGAAATTTTGGGCTCAATTGTGGTTGTAAGTTGAGGACCACCTGTATAGCAACAATGCTGTATACCTGGAAATATTTTTTTGTCACTTAAGCTAAAAATTTAAAACTGTTCATTAATACTGTAGCACAATCTAGTGTCTTTTCTGCATCTAATTAGGTTACTTTGCAAGAAGGTAAACAGGAACCAAATAAACTATTCCTCAAACTAAGAGAAACTGACCCTCCTACAGAAAAACTAACTGTTCCTCAAACATGGAACGAGAAAGAACACCATCTACCTCATGAGAATGCACCCGGAAGAGTAAACAGTCCATGCACTACATACTACACATTTTTCCAAATAACTAACATAAAATCCTGTCAAAGTAGGAGAGAGGATGGGGTTACCTATGCACGAATGAGTTAATTGGTAAGCACTGAACAAAATCTGGATCAATATGCACCCATTCTGCAAACCTGTCAAATAATAATACCAACAGAGCCTGGCCCAAATGCAGGAATATTTTTAGCTAATCATTTTTGGATTAGCATCCATATAATAGAGGTGGAATTCAATTTGTTTTTCCAGTGTGAGCCTGTTAACGGATTGGTTGACTTATGAATAGCTATCACTATATGTATCACCCAATCACCTCAGAGTCACACTGGATTTCTTCTGGAGCCTGGTGAGATTCATCAATCGTTGGGGAATTCCTGCTGTGTTCTGACATACCTGAAATGAAACAAGTTGAGCATGCATTATTTATTTAAAAAAGTAACTAAAGGTATTCCAATGAAGCTCCCACAAGAGCTTATATCTTGCTTTATAGTATATGCTTATATGAATATGTATTAATGTCACACACACTACAACACAGCATATATGAAAGCCAATTTGGTGCAGTGGTTAAGGTGCTGGCCGAGAGACTGTGAATTCTAGGCCTCCCACGAGCATAAAAATACATAAAAACTCTCTTTCTCAGCCCATAATACTTCACAGGTTTGTTGTTGTGGGAAAATAGGAAGAGGAAAGTGAATTAAGTATGTTCACCACCTTCAATAATTTATAAAAAGGCAGGATAAAAATCAAAATAATAATAACAACAAAGACCTAGGATGCTGGCAGCAACCCGTATCAACCATTAGACAACTGATAGTGAGCCAATAACCAACAATTCAGCCTAGGGCTTGAGCCAGAATCATTACATAGTAGATCTGGAAGACTGATTTAGACTCACCTATGCAATTCTTAATCCATGTGAAAGGTTCTAGCAATCACAAAGGGAGCTGCCACAGAATTTGTTAAATCACAGCAATTTAGAAATTAAAATCTAATCAAAAGTAGCCCATGTCTAAATGACCCTATGGAGCATCATCAATTAATACAGGAGAATTCAAGTTCTACTATAAAACTCACTAAGACCAGATTAGTTGCTTATGAGCCTGTGTAACTATCAAAATGCCCTGGTTGCCTGAGGTATTGATGTATTAACTCTTCAAAGGCTGGCCTCCAACATTTCTCATTTCCCTCCCGGAACTCTGCCTAATACTGTATAGGGACTGATTGGATTTTTGATTCCAGATGGGCTTAACTATTTTTTTATGTAATGTTTCCGCTGTGAGTTTTCAAACTTAGGACAGATTATGGAGAACTTATTTACACTATTTAACCAGTGAAATAAATTGGAGAGAGAATTTACATCAAGACATGCTCAATAAGAAGTTTGCATTTTCCTCTACATCAGGACTGTCAAACTAGCGGCCAGCAGGCCAGATGCGTCATGCACAGGCTACAGCCACCCCAGCTCCACAAAGGATACATCGTGTGATGGCAACATGAAGCCACGAGTTTGACACCCGTGCTCTACACAATACAGAAAGATTTCAGAAATTCGCCAAACTTTACTTATACTGATATTTATCAACTTGATTAAAGAGTCTTTCAGTTGTATGTAGACCTACAAATAGCTTTAATTAACTTGATTATTAGAAGAAAATGAGGTTTCAAAAGAATAAGAAAGAAAACTCCCTATTTTCTTCTTCCTGGAACTTGCTCTTATACAGTTTCTTAGGACCATTATAAGCCTCAGACAGGCTGGATAAGGTAGAACAGTCACAAACTGTTCTGTCCCCAGGATGGTTCTCAACCTGTGCTCCATGGGGGACCACAATGTCATCACAGGTGTTCTGTGAAGGTTTGATAAAATGTTATGATTTAAATCTTGAGTTAAGTCTTGGGGATCCATGGTCAGAAAAGGTATTTGAACGGTGTCCGTGATAAAGAAAAAGTTGAGAACCACTGACTTAGAGCATTTCACTGACTTAGAGCATTTCACAAGATTCTCTCTCTCCAAAAATTTTGGATCTCTTTTTTACTTTTCTTATATGTACCACATTCAACAGACTTAGTAATAAAGTCTAAAAATATAAAATGATAGCATTTTTTTCCTTATTCCAAGGATAGAAATCATACTACAATTTGTTTACAATTTACAGATTTATATATTTACAATTTACAGACAAGATAATACAGTACCTCCTTCCTTATGCAAATGAAGCTACAGTTTTATGCATGCTATTCAGAATGGGCATTTCAAAGCTAAGATGCTATTCAGACATATTGTGAAAGTGTAATTAAACTATCCAAGAATATCTCAGGCACTTTCTATTTTCTACCTGTTGCTAACATTGACCTTATTAACATAAATAGCTATTCAAAATCAAAGAAAAGACTGGGTGTAAGATTACAGCAATATGTTGTAATCTTACCCCCAGTCTTTTCTTTGATTTTAAGCAACTTTTTCTTTGATTTAATCCCAGTCTTTTCTTTGATTTTAAACAATTGTCACTTTCTGCTTTTTTCAACAAAAAACCCTTACTGCCAGCTTTCCTAATGACAACTTTTAGGTGACCACAACACACACAATTCCTGTCCCAAAAGTTTGATCAGAATTGCCTAAACACCAAGCAACGGAAAAGCAAAACAAGCAGAAAAGATATGAGGAAGATGGGGGGGAAATCTACTCAGGCCATTCACAAATAAATCCACCAGAGTCCTTCCTGGTCTTTCTGCCTCAATACAGCCCTGCCTGCTTCAAGGTAGATAATGAATCCGGTTTCTTGGGCAAAGTTCCAGGTTTGTTTGCTTTTTAAAGAAAGTGAGAAGTGACTGTTTGTAAAAGGAGCCAAACTTCCTCCTTCTGTCCATCTTCATGCTGGGAGGTAGGGGGAAGCTGCCCCCTGATGACCTCTCGGGAATCTTACAGGTAATACCAGGGGTCTTCAACCGTGGCCACTTTAAGACTTGTGAACTTCAGCTCCCAGCGTTCCTCAGCCAGTTTTGCTGGCAAGGGAATTCTGGGAGTTGAAGTCTTCCAGGCTTAAAATGGCCAAGGTTGGAGACCCCTCATTATAGGATTAATACTCTGGTAAGGGACAACCATAGTCCATCTTAAAAGTCAACAGTAAGGAAACTTATATAAAGTTGAACCATAATCTAATCTACAATTAAATGAAATGAAACCCAGCTGGAGAAACAATACTGTATTTCTTGAGGCTTGGGATAAAGAACAAATTAGGGTCTCACTGGGGAGACCCAGTTAATTAAATCAATTAGTAGTTAATTAATCAGTAAGTAACCCCACTTTCCATATCTGATGGCGAGAGAGAAGCAACCACAAACTTTCAGTCTTTCAACCTCTTTGGTTTTGTTTCTGGCACCTAACAGGGGTCTCCAACCTGGGCCACTTTAAGACTCGTAGACTTCAACTTCAACTCTGGGAGTTGGGAGTCCACAAGTCTTAAAAGTGGCCCACGTTGGAGACCCCTGAGTAATACGATTCAGGGGCTTAAGAGGAAGGGCGTAACCCCCTCCCCATCCCTTCATCACCCCTCGACCGCAAACCTTCGGGGCGTCTCCACGAGCAACGAAGACCCGGGGGGGCGGGGGGGCGGGGGAACCTTCGCGGCTGCCCGGCTACTTCCCGCTTCTTCCCAGTTCCCATCCCCCGGCGAAGAGCAGAGACTGCCGTTAACCGGCTCACCTTCCACCCTCTCCCTCTCTCACCGTCGCTCACCCGTTTCCTTCTCGCTACTAAGCGCCAGAGAAACCTGGAGAAAACTCTGCTTCGGCCGGTCGGCCTCCGCCTTTTTAAAAAAAAAAATCCTTTCTTCTTGCCCAGAACTCCGGCAGAGATCGGAACTGAGTGGACGGAAGTGGAGCCTCCAAGACTCAACTCTATCGTCTTTCTTCCCTCCCCAGTGAGACCCTTCTAGGAGACCGCTACGCGTGGCACAGCCTCCTTTCCGCGGAGCGGTTAACAACATCCGGATCTACCCCGGGCGCACGCGCTCTTTTCTTTACGGGAGTCCCCTTTGCGAGAAAGAGCCCAAATAGGGAAAGGTCATAGACTCGGGGAAATGATAGAGAGGCTTCCGGATTTCGAGGAAACGAGTGGAAAGGGTCTTTCCTAGAATAGACCCGGTGATTAAGCTTCGCCTAAGGCGGCCTCTCGCGAGGGATAAAATGTGAAGGCTGCCCGTTTCTCTTCTCCGGAAGAGACGCTGCGGCTGAGATTTTGTAAACGGCTTCAAAGAGATGGAAAAACTACAGGGAGTCCTCGACTTTACGACCACAACTGAGCCCAAATTTCGGTTGTTAAGAGTTTTCGCCATTTTAGGTCCTTTTTTGCCACAGCTGTTAAGTAAATCACTGCAGCTGAAAAGCTAGTAACCTGGTTGTTAAGTGAATCTGGCTTCCCCATTGACTTTGCTTGTCAGGAGGTCGCAAAAGGGGATCACGTGACCCTGGGACACTGCAATGGTCATAAATGCGAGTCAGTTGCGAAGCATCTGAATTTTGGACATGTGACCATGAGGATGCTGCAACAGCCGTAAATAAAAGTGAAAACCACTAGACTGCAGCAATCCTGTAGTAAATATACAGTACCTAGAGGTAAGGTACACCTAGGAAAGCTGCCTATTGAAAAAGAGAAAGAGAAAAAAGATAGATAGCGCAAAACGTAGTCACTGAACCGGTAGTAACACCGGTTGAATCCCACCCCTGGATGGAACCACGAAGAAATCAATGCTATGTAGATCAATGCTACTTTTATTGTAACAGCTGTATAAGAGAATCTGAATTCATCACTTTATGTGAACTAAGTGAGACTTACCTGACATGTTTTGTCAGTTATCTTTTTGGCCCAGGCTCAGCCCTTTTTTATCTGACTCCTGCCTTGATAACAGCTTTTCCTTCTCTCCTTCAAGATCATTCCTTAGCTGGTGCTCCCAGCTATTATGGTTAAACACATAGACAAATAAATAAAACATTTTATTTTACAGGCTTATTCACATACCATCCTTTCCCTAGCTCTGAGACAAGTTGCCCCCCCCCCCCCCCCCCAGTCTTCACAATGGCAGAGTGATAACTCAGTGATGAGGACGTGGGGCTTGTCGGCTGGAAAAGCCAGCAGCCTGGGTTTGAGACCCAAGTGCCAGGTAAATGGGATTTCTGCATCGCTTTTTGTAGACGGGCTATCAAGAGCATCCTGTCATATTGCATTACAGTCTGGTTTTGAAGCATTCCTTCTTCGGTCAGGAAGGCAGTGCAGAGAGTGGTGAGGATGGCAGAAAAGATTATTGGTAGTTCACTTCCTTCTATCCAGTATGTAGCACATAAGCGATGCTTGAGCAGAGTCTGCAGGATTGTGTGTGTGTGTGTGTGTGTGTGTGTGTATGTATGTATGTATGTGTTTTCTTAAGTTTTTGTGGGTATTTATATGTACGGTATTCAGCTTTGTTCAGGTATTTTCCCACGTCATTATAGTTGTGTTTTTAAAGTTGTAGTGATGTTTCGGCAGAATCTCATCTACCATCATCAGGCTTCTGTATTGTGTTTGTCTGTGAGTCAGACTTTCACAGCCGTTTCTGTTTTAAATTTGGGGCTAGCCTACTGCTGTGCCAGAATGGTTTTTTCTTCATCCTGATTGGTTGGGGGTCTTGGTCTGTGTTTATTGGTCTTGGAGTTTGATGTGTTCTGCTTGATTGGAGTTTCTAATATCTTCTGTCTGTTTTGTAGCTTTTTTTTTTTGTCTTGATTGGCTGGCAACATTGTGTTTGCTGTATTGGAGGCTTTTAGTGCGGCTTCGCTCCGAGTAAATGGACGGCTATCATTTATTAGGAAGTTAGGTTTCATCTGGGTGCCTGGTTGGGGTGTGTTTGAGCTGGAGATATCGGGGGGGGGTCTGTTTGTGCCCAGGTGTTTGCCTGGCTTGTGTGGAGATTTTTTTGTTTGTGAGTGCAGGTTTCCAAATGATTGACAGCCTGGTGGAATCATCTCTTCTATTCATGCTTTCTGGTCTTTTTTCAATCTCTATGGCTTCTCTGATGATTCTGTGGCTAGGGTTTTCTATAGTGGCTAGGGTTTTGGTGCCATTGAAGTCGATGCTATGACCTGTGGCTTTCATGTATTGGACTAGTGAGGAAATGTGTTCCAGCTTTTTTCCTGCATTTTTGTGTTTATCCAGGTGGGTACTTATTCTTCTATTGGTCTGTCCAATGTATGTGGCAGGGTATGATGCGCAGGGGACTTCATATATGCCTTGGTTTTCCAGGTCAATTTTATCTTTGGGGTTTCTTAGGATGGGTGCTATTTTTCTGTCTGAGGGCAATCTTGATGTGATGCCTGTGTAGTATCTTACTGATTTTGACTGTAGTACCTCTTATGTAGGGCAGGACAGCTGTTCCATAGGTCTGTTCATCTTCTAGGTCTCCATTATGTCTCAGTTTGCTTTTGTGGATCAGGCCTGTGATTTTGCTTTTGTGGAAGCTGTTGGCTGTCAGTTCTTTGGTCAGGGTGCATAGTTCAGTCTTGATGTGTGTCTTGTCTGCCAGGCGTTTGATTCTGGCAATTAGTGTTTTGGCCACAGAGACTCGGGCTCAGCCTGGTCATCTACAAAAGCCAAGATGACAACACTTCATTCCCCAGTCTACTGAGACAGTCCTCACAATGTATGCAGCTAAAGAACATGCTGCTGCCCAGGCAACTAAAAACTTTCAACTGAGGCTCTAAGTCCGTGATGGCGAACCTATGGCACACATGCCGGAAATGGCACGCAGAGCCATCCCTCCAGGAACACCAGTCATTACCCGTTGCACTTCTGGTTTCTGGCGCGCATGCGCGCATGAAGACCAGCTGGCCAGTGCGCATCACTTATTGGAAACTGGAAGCTCACCTTCCTGGCATGTGCCTCGGGGAGCTGGTCTTCCAGTTTCTGGCACTCCCATACTGGGGAGCTGCTTTTCTGGATTCCGGCTCTCCCCCGCATATGCACACACTCCCATTTTGACACTTGGTGCCGAAAAGGTTAGCCAACACTGCTCTAAGTGGTGGGAGGAAAAGAGAGGGAGGAGGATTGATTCTGGCAACAACAATCAGCAATTGAACCAAAACTAGACTGCATTTCTGAGTGGCTATTCTACGTATATGACTATATGAACTATAATAGCTAAGAGTTGACCACGACTACATCTGCTGCTATCCCCTCCTGTCTCCTTCACTTACCTCTCTCATATGACATTTGTGTGAGGATCCATCACTGCTTGACTGACATCCTATTTTTGTCTCCGATGGGGCTCTCCCCAATGAAGCACCTGACTTTGCCACAGGCTGCTGGGAGGTGGGCGGGACACCAACTCCACTGATCTCAATCCAGGGGTGAAATTCAACCACCTCAGCCCACCACAGGAGAGGTGATGGGGATGATTTAAATCGGTAAAAAATTGCCCCAATTGCCCCTGGTTGCTATTATTATTATACCAAGCCCCACCCATAGCCACCCCCACAGAGCCGGTAGGGAAAAAATTTGAATTTCACCACTGTCTCAATCTTATGTAGCAGTAAACAAAAAAAAAAGTGAAGTGGGGCAGGTTGGATAGTTTTGGAAATGACATACTTTTTTCCCGTATTCAGGATTCGAACGGATCTTTTCTCGCTGAGAAGATGTTAGAGTTGTTGGCGGGTGTGTTGGAGGTGAGCAAACAGGAAATGGGATGGACAGAATATTTAGAATACACACAAGCTATGCAAGAAGAAATAAACTCCCAGGGAGGTACATGTGAGATTCTCTAAGAAGGCAATAAGAGCAGAAATACTTCAAAGAGCAAGAGACAAACCATTGAAATACAATACCCAGACAACACACTGTTTAATTGAAATTGAAATTTTATGTATTATATAAATAAAACAAATAAAAAACTTGGGGGAGGGGAATAATACAAGCAGATCTTTGTGCATGAGTCTACATGTCTCTATTTTTTTCCAATTAACATGCAGGCAACAGATGAAGGAAGCTTCCCCCGATGCACAATGTCCACTTACATAACTTAAAACAGTTCATCAATATGGAATGTGCCCCTCCTGTGTTTTTCTTGCTAAATCAGATTTTGCAAGTTATCTAGTTCGGCTCTGAGCATCTTGCGGCCTTCTAGACTGATTGTTCTCCAAACCCTCTTCCTAACTCATTGTTTTCAGCTACAAAATGCAGTACCTTGTTGTAGAATTGGAGTTTTCTTCCTTCTTCAGATGGGAAGCACATGAAAACCATAACTATAGACTTAGAGTACATTTAAATGCAATCTTCTGAGGTGGCAGGAAATCTGCATTTGTGGTAAGAAACAGGCCATCTGAGGCTGCAGTTAAAACACATTTATTTAAATTTTTGCAATAGAAAGCA